CGAATACACATTTCTCCGGGTTCAGCTTCATATTGTATTTTTTCAATATGCTGAAGGTTTCCTGCAAATGTTTCAAATGGTCCTCTGCCCGCAGGGACTTAACCAACATATCGTCAATGTAAACCTCCATTGATTTTCCTATTTGTCCCTCGAACATCCGATTTACTATGCGTTGGTAAGTGGCGCCGGCATTTTTTAGTCCGAACGGCATCACGTTATAGCAATAGGTGTCGTACTTGGTAATGAAGGAAGTTTTTTCCTAATCACCCAGGTCCATCCGAATTTGGTTGTACCTGGAATAAGAGTCGAGAAAACTGAGGATCTCGTGGCCGTCCATTGCATTGATCATGCGATCGATGTTAGGCAAAGGGAAAGAGTCCATGGGACACGCTTTATTCAAGCCTTTATAGTCCACACACATTCTTAATTTGTTCCCCTTTTTGGGGACTACTACTACGTTTGCTAACCAGTCTGGGTATTTAACCTCCCGGATTGACCCTATTTTAAGGAGTTTAGATACCTCGTCCTTGATGAAAGCATGTTTGACCTCGGACTGGGGTCTCCTCTTCTACTTGACCGGGTAGAACTTCGGGTCCAGGCTTAGCGTGTAAGTGGTTATTTCCGGCGGGATCCCTGTCATATCAAGGTGGGACCAAGCGAAATAATTTTTGTTAGCTATAAGAAATTGAATGAGTTTTTTCCTGAGCTCGGGATTCAACCCCGTGCATAGGTATACCTTTTGATCGGGCAAGTGTTCGATCAGTACAACTTTCTCCAATTCCTCGACCGTTGATTTGGTAGCGTCGTAATCATCGGGAGCTATGAAAGACCTGGGAACTCCGTAGTCATCGTCCTCACCCATCTTCTGCTTCTCCGGTTAGGACGGAGTCGGTGTCAGTAGTTGCTATTTGGTTTCTCCCTTGGTGACCGAACCCAACTCTTTTGGTGTCGAAAGTGTGGATATCGGGACCACTTCGTCGACCACGAACATCTCTTTTGCAGCCGGTTGTTCTCTATAAACTATTTTTATTCCTCCCGGTGTCGGGAACTTCAACACCTGGTGCAAAGTTGACGGTACCGCCCTCATATTGTGAACCCATGGTCTTCCGAACAAAGCATTGTACCTCATGTCCCCTTCGATCACATAGAACTTTGTTTCCTGAACGGTTCCGGCGGTGTTCACTAGTAATGTTATCTCCCCTTTAGTGGTCTCACATGCCATGTTAAACCCGTTTAGGACTCGGACCGCAGGCACGATCTGATCTTGTAGGCCGAGCTATTCCACAACCCTCGATCTAATGATGTTGGCCGAGCTACCTAGATCAATTAACATACGCTTAACTTGAGATTTATTTATAAGTACTGATATTACCAGTGCATCATTGCGGGGCTGCACGATCCCCTCAGGGTCTTTGTCGTTGAAGGACAAGGTTCCCTCCGACACGTATTTCCGAGTCCATTTTTTCCTTGTGATGGATACTTTGGTGCGCTTCAGCATCGGCCCCTGGGGAACATCGACCCCACCGATGATCATGTTAATGACATGCTGGGGTTCCTCATGTTCGATCTGTTTACCAGAATCTCTGTTCCTAAAGTGGTTCTTGGCTCGATCGCTTAGAAACTCTCGGAGGTGCCCATTATTGAATAGCCGTGCCACTTCCTCTCTTAATTGTCAATAATCTTCTGTTCTGTGACCGTGAGTATCATGATATCTGCACAATAGGTTAGGATCCTTTTGGGTTGGATCGGACTGTAGAGGTCGAGGCCATTTGGTGTCTTTGATACGTCCAATGGCGGATACGATGACGGCGGCAACGACGTTAAAGTTGTACTCCGATAGCCTTGGCGCTTCCTTCGGCCGATGGGTATATGTCCCAATGCGCTTAAAAGAAACATGACATAATTTTTTCGTTTCACTACTCAATGAGGGAAGTCCAAATGCTTACTTCCTCAATTGCCACTTTTATCCAAATATTTTTTAGGAAAAAGTTTTTTTCATCACAAAATCAATTCGGTATCTGGTTATGAAAATGTTCTCCACAAAAACGGGGGAAATGAGCCAACGTTAATTTTCATTGCAGATTACAACTTTTTATTCCATAATACTTGCTTCAAGTAATGCTTAGATATATATTATTTTCAATCTTTTATAGAACACTATTCTCATACACTACTCTCCGCCTTATATGGTAAAAACATTTTATTTGAAAACATTTTCCTTTGTACCAAATGCAGATAATAATTTTTTAACCAAGCAATAATATGATAAAATCTAGAAGAATTTTCATAAAGCACTATAGTTTAGAGGATAATAACTATAATTTATGTAATTACCATTTGTAGCTACTGTTTAATAGCCTGTTTGGAAAGTCACATGGGAATTGAAATTGAGTGTAACTGGGTGTAATTACACACTTTGACATGTTTGTTTGACCAAGTAATTACTTGGTTGGTGATGAATTGAGTGTAATTGGGAGGGAGTAATTACACTCTCCAATTCTCAAAGGAGGGTAAAGAATATGATGTAATTACAAGGCAACATTTCCAATTCCTTTTTCTTATTTCAATATATAATAATATTTAATATTTAATATCTATTATACATATAAATATTTATCATACAGTGAAAATTATTTTACATGTTAATCTGAAAAAATATTTAGTAATCTATGTAATTACACTTGTATAACCAAACATGAATATTCGTAGGCGCTCTATTCGTTCACGCAATGAATATAACTAAAGCGAAGTACAGAAATACAGAAACATAAAATGCTCTTGGTGAGAGTCGAACTCAAGACCTCCACTAACTAAGTAGGCACTCACAAACTGAGCTATGAGAGCTTGTTGTTCTCTTGTTTCAGTTCAAAATAATTAATCTCATATTTTATGAATTTGCTTTAAAATTCAAATATAGTTATGAATGGTAAACTTACTGAAAATATAGCTACAAATAATAAATATAATATAAAAATTTGATGTATCACGTAATTTTCCCTAAAATCTAAAAGCAGTCCAAACCTTAGTGACCAATACCCAATCAATTGTGGCCCAAAGGCCCAAATAAAGCACTCATTGCAAATGTGGAGAGGGTGATATAATAAAGAGTAAATTACCCTATATAGCCGATCAAAATTTTAATAGCCCATATTTTTTTCCATTGACATGATGTCCCTCCGGCCCAAACATATTATATCTAATAGTCCGAAATGTTATTTTGTATATTTTTTTTGTATAGTGACAGTCTATTTTGTATAGCGACGGTCTATTTAGTATATATTTTGTATAGTGACTGTCTATTTTGTATATATTTTGTATAGTGACAGTCTAATGTATATAAATTGTATAATGATAGTCTATTTAGTATATTTTTTGTACATTGATAGTCTATTTTGTATATATTTTATATAGTAACAGTCTATTTAGTATATGTTTTGTATAATGACAGTCTATTTTGTATATATTTTGTAAAGTGACAGTCTATTGTATATAGATTGTATAGTGACAGTCTATTTTGTATAATTTTTGCATAGTGACATTCTATTTTGTATATATTTTTGTAATATACCACTATTTAAATCTATTTTTATCAAAAGAAATACATAAATATCCATGTAAATATATACTAATGGTGGGACTGAAATTAAATTATTTAAAATTGTATACTAGATATTTGTTTTAAACCAAACTACAATTGTTCCTTAACAATACACATAAAAGAAAGAGGTTACAAGGAAAATGATTTCTAGGATCTTTTATGGCGGCAGAAACTAAGAAGAATAAAATCTCCATCATCAAGATCATAAACATTACTTTAGCAGGTGAATTTTGAACCAAATTATCTTTGTTGCTTCAGAGCAAGCTTGCATGCCTTCCTCATAATCTTGGCCAGAAGCTTCTACAACTTAAGCAATAGTCTGTATCCACAAAATAGCTTTAAATTATCCAGTAGTATAATTTAAATATTAAAAAAAAAACTTAAAATCGATAAAAATTAAGAACCTGATTGTTGGCGGGATTAACAGTGGAGATGATGAAGCCACTAGCTTTCCACGTGCCATTGACATAACAACCTAGATTTTTAGGGCCAATTCCGATCTCCTTCGGAAACTCATACTCTTTCTTTGCGAAAGTCATGATTTCTTCAATTTAAAAAAAGAAAGAAGTACAATCGAAAACTTTCCAACGGACACGATAATCCGATAGAAGAAATTGCTTAGTGCAAGAAGGAGAATCAATAAATGACTGCTAGAGAAGTGGCGATCCATCGCCAAATTTTGGACTTTGGCGACTAGGGAGGGCGGGCGGCACAGATATACTAGTTAACATAATTTATTTATTTTTTACTACAAGTTGTAATATGCAATTGTGGGCTAGGCGGTTATTTATAGGTTTTGACGAGCGGCTAACTTTGTCAAAAGCTTTATAATAAGTGTTTAGTCTATTTTCGTCTTTATACCACTGTCTTGACTCTTGAGAGCATATGATCCTTAACTTCGTCAAAATTGAGTATTTTTTGTTCAATTGATGAAATTCTCATATGAATCATTTAAAAATAACAAGGATGTTATGTTTCTTATATGTGACTAACCTAAAAAACAACGACAATTGGGGGTTTCTTGCCCAATTTCAATTTTTCTTTGATCAAGGTCCATTTTCATTATTAATATAGATATGTTTAATTTTGCAGGAATTATCATTTGGATTTTTATTTATTTATTGGAGGAAAAATAGATTGTAGAACAAAATCTTAATCTCGATTACGGTCTTTTTTTTAATTACTTCGATCATGTAAAAGTCACGTGACATCTCCGGTAGTTTTAAAGATCCGCTTAAATATTTGGTCAGTTGAATAAAAATGTTTTTTTTTTAAATTTAAAAGGATCTCATGTGCATATTTATTATTATTGTTTTTTGTCCGTGCTAAAAGTGATACAATGAAAATAGAGAAGGGAAATAGACATATCACTAAACTTAAGGGACTATTTGAGCCAAGAACTTGAAAATTGGGGAAGACTCGTATATTCTCCAGAAAGAAGCGTAGAGACAGAAAAACGAAACCCTCGGCTCAAAGTTCATCAAAGATCTAATAGAAGGAACTGAAACCTAATACGCAGTGAAAGAGAGATCTGTCGTAGCAATGGCAGAAGAGAAGAAGCAAGAACAAGCAATTGTACCTCCTCCACAATACAATTTGGACGCAAAGTGGGACGCTTGTCTTGATTTGGGGGTTCGCCGTTTCGCTTACTTTTCCTTAATCGGTGGCTTTGCTGGTCTTCTCCTCTTCCGTGAGTTCCTTTTTTTTTTTTTTCACAAACTCACAATTTTTGACTTGCCTTTATGCTGTTTCTATGGTTTTTTGTTTTGCTTAGTATCGTTTGTGTGACCTAATCATTATGAAATCGGTGTTGATTGGATGAAATTGGGAAAATGCTGAAATGGGTGTCTTTTTTCATTTTCGTAATATTATAGTTACGTGGATTGTACCGAGATAATTGAAGCTGGAGTAAGAGCTTTTGCTTGCCAGCTTCTTCTGTTATTTTACCACAGTAGTGGAAATGCTTTTATGTTTCCCCCCCTCTAATACTGTTTAAGGAAATTGGAGAAGTTTTGTTGCTTAGTTTTTTTGTGTGATGTGGTGATTGTGGAATTGGTATCGTAACTGAGAAATGGAAATGTGTGTGCACGCGTGCACGCACATATTGGTCTTGTATCATTATATCATTTCTGATACACTTACACACGCATATAAATTGGTCTTGTATTATTTATGGATTTTGTTTCATTGGTTACTGTCTTCTTAGTTGGAAACTTCAGCTGCGCTTTTGCTTAGTTTGCTCGTGTGATGTTAGTATTGTGAAAAGTGGGATTTGGAGGGATGAAGTTGAGAAATGCCGAAATGGGTTTTTGAATTTGTGTTGTGTGGTAATGGTTAATTAGACAAGAGTATTGTCAGCCTCTTGTGCTCACTAGTATTGTCACATAACTTTGCTTGTTAAGCCCGGTGCATTGGTTAAAACTCCAGCTGTTCTTTTGCATAGTCTTGTGTGTGTGATCTAGTGATTGTGGAAATTATGAATTGCATGGATGCTTATGGGAATGACAAAACGGGGCTTTCTTGCAATTATGTTCCATTGTTATTTAAGCGAACAAACTGAGGCTGAAGTAATAGCTTTTAGCCTGCCAGCTTTTGTCTTCACGCTGTACATGTTGTATATGTCATACATATTTTGCACCTGCTTGGTGCATTCTGGTGCAATAAAGTTATCCTTCCGTGTAAAAAAAGAACAAAATAAATTATACATGTGATGCAATTTTCCAACTAAATCCTTCAATAATGAAGGTCGGAATTGAAGAATGACTTACCATTAAAAAAACGTTCAGAATTGAAGTGTATGGATAGAGCAGTAACGAGCAGTGATTTTGATGAAAATAGCATTGGATGGATTATGAGCTGGTTTCTTATTAACTTAAATCTGTGTGGTCGCATTGTGTTTATGAGAACTTGAAGAAGTAGTTCTTCTTCTTCTTCAAGTTCCCATAAACACAACGTAACCATTCAGAATCAAGGCAGATGTCTGTGTAGTCTTTTTTGTTGGTCCAACCAGTCCTATGTAAATAGTTCTACTGTCTTTTTAGATTTTGTGAGCTCCCTCACTCTAGACTAGCCATTATCATGAAGGGTCTTACCAGATTTTGTAATGGAGCTAGCATATCTACTTCTGTAGTCTCTGCATCTTGTTGATGCCAATCAATGAAACAACTTACTTTATCAAACAAAAAAAAAAAAGAAAAGAAAAGAGAGGGAGAACTTGAAGAAGTAGTTCTTGTTGAAGCTTAGCTATGTGGACAGTTTTTGGATGCAGAGACGAAAAGGGAACAGATGTAACCTAGCATACAAGAGGTTACATTCTTTTAATGTATTATGGCATGCTGTCGACTTGATAATGTTGTAGCTTAATAGTTGTTTTTGTAATATTGCTTGCTGTTGTCTTGATAATCAATCTCCCATTCTGTTCTTGAAATTTTTGGTAGTTGTATGTCTAGGCATTGATTTGGTCATGCTTGCAGCTTTTTTCAATCTATATAATATGAATAGAGTTGTTTCTTCTTTGATGTGTTTCTCCAAGTGTTGTCCAATATATATTAGACAGATAATGTAGTAAGTTGACTCATTTTCATTGATTGTCATCTTAGGGAGTCCTGTGACACGCTGGGCATCAACGGCATTTGGTGCTGGGACAGGTCTAGGATCTGCATACACGGAATGCTCTCAGAAATTTGGTGGATATCCTGGAAAATTAACTGCTAATGTTTCTGAGGCTCCTATTACCAAGGTAGTACATTGCATCTATTTCTATTTCTATTTGCCAAGCTAATACGTAAGGGAAATACAAATAGGCTTGCCCATCTTTGATGATATTCAGTGAATGCTCAGTATTCTTTTCTATAAGCTGTGTGAAACTGTTCTCTTGTGGCTAGACAGAAATATTCAGGTTGGAGATGATGGTTGTGTAATTATGCTACTTTCTTTGTTTTATCCTCCCCCCTTCTTGTTGGGGGGGGGGGG